CCCAGGGTTCACCTCAGGCCTCCCAGGTACTCCTCTGAGGCCTCCCAGGTGATTCCTCTGACCTCCCAGGTACACCTCTGACACTTCCAGGTACTCCCTAACACTCCCTGGTACACCTCCTGGCTCCTGCCTCTGACCTCCCCGGTACCTCCGTGCTCCCAGGTACGCACCTCATGCTCCCTTGTTGCTCCTCTGACACTTGCCAGGTATGCCTCCAGACACTCCCAGGTACACCTCAGACACTCCCAGGGACACCTCAGACACTCCCAGGCACTTCCAGACACCTCTGCTCCCAGGTGCACCTCCCGATGCTCCCAGGTTGCACCTCTTACACTCCCTTGTTCTCCTCTGACGCCAGGTATGCCTCAGACGCTCCCAGGGTGCACCTCAGACCTCCCAGACACCTCAGACCTCCCAGGTACACTTCACACTCCCAGGTACACCTCCCCAGGTTCCCTCAGACACTCCCCAGTTCACCTCTGATACTCCTGGTTCACATCTGACAGTCCCAGGTACACCTCAGACACTCCCAGTTCACCTCTGTTCCCTGGTTCCCCTCTGACCTCCCTGGTTTTGCTCCCAGGTACACCTCCTGACCTCCCAGGGGTACACCTCCTGACACTCCCAGGTACCTCTCTGTTTTACCTCCAGACGCTCACTCGTGGTACACCTCTGACACTCCCTGGTACATTCTCACTGTCACCTCCATCACGGGCACTCCAGGTGCACCCTCCAGACACCTCCCGGGTACACCTCAGGACACTCCCAGGTGCTCCTCCCTTTCAGGTTTCCTCCCGACCTCCCCAGGTACACCTCTGACCTCCCAGGTGCCTCTGGGCAGTTACCTCTGAAACTCCCAGGTACTCCTCTGACACTCCCTGAACACCTCAGACTCCTCTGACACTCCTGGTGCCTCTGCACTCCCTGGGTACCTCTGAGCCTCCCCTAGTTCTCTCTGACCTTCCAGGTACATCTTGTGCTCCCAGGTACTCCCACGGCCTCCCTGGTACACCTCTGACCTCCCTAGGTACACCTCTGACACTCCCAGAGTGCACCTCCCGTGCTCCCAGGTACACCTCCCGTACTCACAGGTGCCCCTCCTGTATGCTCCAGGTGCCTCTGATACTCCCAGGTACACCTCGGACACTCACAGTTCACCTCTGATATTCCCTGGTTTCACCTCTGGCATTCAGTGCACTCCTGGCACTCCCAGGTTCGACCTGCTTCCCTGGGCACACCTCTGTCCTCCCAGGTACACCTCTGACAATCCAGGTGCACCTCTTACACTCCCTGAGTTCTCTGCACTCCCAGGTACACCAGACATTCCCAGGTACATCCAGACACTCCCAGGTGCACCTCAGACACTTCCAGGTCGCTCTGGCCTCCCAGGTGCACCTCCTGCAGCCTCCCAGGTACACCTCAGACCTCCCAGTTCACCGCTGATACTCCTGGTTCACCTCTGACACTCCCGTACATCATTCTCCCACAGGTACATCACGACTCAGGTACCTCTGACGCCATGATACGCCCACCCTCGGTTGCTCCCAGTGCACCTCCCAGGCACTCACAGGTGCACCACTGACCTCCCAGGTACACCTCTGATGCTTTCGCGGGTATGCCTCCTGGCCTCCAGTTACACCTCCGGACACTCCCAGTTACACCCCAGCCTCCCTGGTGCACCTCCTGGCCTCCCAGATTACACTCCCTCCTGACCCCTCCCAGGTTCTGACACTCCAGGTGCACCTCCTGACACTCCCAGTGCACCTCCCCAGGCACTCTGATCTCCAGGCACTCCCTGGTACACTCAGGAACACTCCAGCACTCCCAGGCCTCCCCGGTGCACCTCTGACACTCCAGGGTACACCACTGTCCTCCCAGGTGCACCTCTGATGCTCGCAGGTATACCTCTGACACTCCCAGTTACACCTCCGGCCAGTTGCACTCCCAGGTGCACGCACACTCCTGGTTATCCTCTGCCTCCCAGGTGCGCCTCCGGGTGCGCGCACTCCCAGGTGCACCTCCACTCCCAGGTTACCTCTGAGACTGGCTCAGGTTCTCCTCTGACCTCCAGTGCCTCTGACCTCCCAGGTGCACTCCCAGGTGCTCCTCGGCCTCCCAGGTATTCTCTGGCCTCCCAGTGCTCTGGCTCCCAGGTTGCTCACGCCTGCCTGGGTGCACCTCCTGGCCTCCTGGGTACCCCTCTGAGACTCCCAGGTGCACCTCCCGTCTCAGGTACCCTTACTCCTTGTTCTCCTCTGACCTGCCAGGTGCCTCAGACACTCCCAGGTACCTCAGACGCCGACGCCTCAGACATCTCCAGGACGCCTGACCTCCCATTTCACCAGTACTCCTGGTTCACCTCTGGCCTCCCTGTGCACCAGAGCCTCCCGGTTGCCTCTGATACTCCCTAGTTTCAGTGCCTCCCAGGTGCTGAGCTCCTTGGTGCTCCTCTGAGACTCACATGCACTCAGCCTCAGTGCCTCAGGAGCACTCCCAGGTTCACGCCCTGACAGCTCCCAGGGTGCACCCTTGACCTCCCAGATGCACCTCCTACAGGTCACTGTGCTCGACACTCCCAGGTGCACTCAGTGCTCCCAGTGCACCTCCCGATGGTCCCAGGTGCACCTCACAGGCTCCCAGGTTCTCCTCTGACACTCCCTGGTTCCTCTCTTGCTCAGGTACACATCTCTCCTGGTTCACCTCCTGGCTCCCGAGTCACCAGCTCCCTGGTTCTCCTGGCCTCTAGGTACATCCGACTCCAGTTGACCTCCGACATTCCCATTACTCCCTCCCGTTGCACCTGCTGTACTCTCCAGGTACACGCTTGCTCCCAGATTACTCCTCTGACCTCTGGTGCCTGAGCACTCCAGGTACACCTAAGACACTCCCAGTGATCTCATGGCCTCCTGGTGCCTCTGGCCTCCCGGTCACTGAGCACTCCTGGCTCTGGCCCAGGTGCGCCCAGTGCACTCTGACACTCCCAGGTGCATGTGCAGCCTCCCCAGGTGTTCCTCCAGCCCTGGCCTCAGGTGCTCCTCTACCTCCTGGGAACAGGCGCCTCCAGTTTTACCTCTGACCTCCTGGTTTCCTGGCCTCCCAGGTGCCTCAGGCCTCCAGGTTTTTATCAGGTGCCCTCTGACACTCAGTACACCTCTGAGCACTCCCAAGTACCCCCTGACCTCCAGGTACTCCTCCTGCTCCCAGGTATTCCTCACCAGGCACTCAGGTCCTCTGGCCTCCGGTCTGCTTTCCCTGGTACACCTCTGACACTCCTGGGTGACACCTCTGCCTCCCAGGTGCCTTTGTGCTCCCTTGTTCTCTCTGACACTGCCAGGTATGCCTCAGGCCTCCCAGGTGCCTCAGACACTCCCAGGAACTCCTGCTCGCATGGTACGCTGGCGCTCCAGGTGCACACAGCGCAGTGCACCGTGCTCCCAGGTGCTTTCTCCTTGTTTCTCCTCTGACACTGCCAGGTATGCCTCAGACACTGCCAGGTGACCTCAGACCTCCCGAAACATATCAGGACACCTTCTGAGGCACTCCAGGGTGCCTCTGACATCCCGATTGCCTCAGACACTCAGTTCCTGTACTCCTGGTTCCACCTCCCTCCTTTCAGACACTCCCAGTTCTCATTACTCCCTGGTTCACCTGGCCTCCCCTGGTGGCCTCTGGCCAGGCCTCCCAGGTGCCTCCGGCCTCCCAGGTGCACCTCTTACACTCCTTGTTCTCCTCTGGCCTGCTGGGCGCTCCCACTCAGAGGCCGGTCTCAGACCTCCCGGACCTCGAGGCCTCCCGTTGCCTTCTGACCTCCCAGGTGACCTGTGGCTCCCAGGGTACACCTCGGCCACCAGTTGCCTCTGTGCTACCTGTTTCCTCTGGCCTCCTGGTGCACCTCTGTTGCTCCCAGGTTGCCACCTCTGACACTCAGATTGCCTCTGGCTCCCCTGGTGCACCTCAGGTGCTGCTGACACTCCGTGGTACACCTCTGAGACTCCTGGTGCCTCTGAGCTCTCCTGGTTCTCTCCTCTACACTCCCAGGTGCCTCTGACCTCAGGTACATCAGCCATTTTATCAGAGACTCCCACTCCCTGGTTTCCTGACCTCTGCTGGCCTTGCAGCACTGCCCAGGGTACACCTGTGACACTGCCAGGTGCCATGGCCTCCCAGGTACACCTGACCTCCCAGGTACACCACTGACACTCCCAGAGACTGTTTCAGGGTACTCCTCGGCCTGACACCATTTGCACCTCTGGCCTCCCAGGTACTCCTCCTGGCCTCCCTGGGTGCACTCTGGCAGCTCCCAGTTACACCTCTGGCCTCCAGTGCCTCCGTTGACCTCAGGCCTCCCCAGGCATCTGACGCCGGGTACATCTGACACTCCAGTGCACTCTGACACTCTCAGGAACACTCCAGATTCACCTCCTGGCCTCCCAGTACACCTCTGACACTCTGGGTACACCACTGACACTCCAGGTACACCTCTGATACTCGCAGGTATGCCTCTGACACTCCAGTTCACCTCCTCCGGTTGCACAGGCCAGGTACGCTCCTGGTTCCTCCCTCCAGGTTTTTACCTCTCACCTCCCAGGTTGCCTCACGCCGGGCCTCACAGGTGCCGGACATCACTCCTGTGGCTGCCGGTTATACCTCAGACACTCCCAGGTTACACCTCAGACACTCCCAGAAATACCTCAGAACTCCCAGGTACACTTCTGACCTCCCAGGTGCACCTCTGGCCTCCAGGTACACCTCAGACACTCGTTACTCATTTTCCCTGTTCACCTCTGGCACTCCTTGGTGCACCTCAGACACTCCAGTTCACCTCTGATGCTCACCTCTGGCACTCCTTGGTACACCTCCGGCATTCTTGACACCTGAGGCACTCCCAGGTGACTCCTCTGATACTGCAGGTATGCCTCCTCGGCCAGTTACACTCCCAGTTACCCCTCAGGTACACCCTTGACAGCTCCCAGGTGCCTCCGGTGCTCCCAACACCTCCGATGGTCAGGTACGCTCTGACACTCCCAGGTTCTCCTGACGCTCCTGGTTTCCTCACTCCCGGTGCATCTCTTGCTCCCTGGGTGCCTCTGACCTCCCAGATTACACGTCGGCATCACGCCTCCGACGTTTCAGTACGCCTCCGATGCTCCAGGGTACCTCCGGGTGCGCTCCCCAGGTGCTCTGACCTCCTGGTGCACCTCACAGGCCTCCCAGGTGCACCTGCAGACCTCCCGGGTACACTCCTCCTGACCTCCCTGGTACACCTCGGCCTCCCAGGTGCACCCTGAGACGCTCCTGTTACCTCTGACGCCACACCTCCAGACGCTCCAGGTGCGTTAGGCACACCTCTCACACTCCCAGGTTGCTCGGCCTCCCAGGTGCCTCTGACCTCCCAGTGCCGGTTTTATGGGTGCACCTCCCCAGGCACTCCCAGGTGCTCCTCCTGACCTCCCCTGGAACACCCTGGCCTCCTGGTCCACCTCCCAGCCTCCCAAGTTCTACTCCTGACCTCCCAGGTGCCTCAGGGCCTCCCAAATTTCAGGCCTCCCAGTGCACCCTCTGCACTCCAGGTACACTCTGACACTCCCAGGTGCATCACACTCCGTGCTCTGTGCCTCAGGCACTCACCTCTGACACTCCCAGGTACTCCCACTGCCTCCTGGTACACCTCCCCAGCCTCCTAAGGCCTCCCCTCCCCGGTACACCTCCGATACTCCCATTTTGCTGCTCCATGACACTCAGCGCGCCAGGTATGCCTCAGACGCCAGGGTGCACCTCAGACACTCCGAGACACCTCAGGGTTACTCCCCAGGTACACTTCTGACACTCCCAGGTACACTCTGACCTCCGGTGCGCACCTCAGGCCGCCGGGTGCACCTCCTTGCATCGCCGACAATACTCCTGACCGCCGGGGTAATACCTCAAACCTCCCAGGTGCCTCCAGACACTCCCCAGAAACACCTCCAGACACTCCCAGATTACACTTCTGACGCTCAGCCCTCCCCGTGCACCACCAGTTGCCTCTGGCTCCTGAACGCCCAGATTTCACTCCGTTGCTCCTGGTTCGACACGCTCTATTTTGCACTCACTCCCGAGTGCCTCGACCTCCGTGCTCCAGTGCAGCACTCTCCCTGCCAGACTACTCTGTTCCCTTCGGGTGCACCACACTCAGTGCTCAGTGCACCTGCCCAAAACCTCAGACCTCCAGGTGCCTGAGCACTCCAGTGCACCCCTCCCAGTGCCTCGAACACCAGTTCCTCCCGTCCCTGTTCCCTGCCCCTTCAGTTCCTCGACCCTCACAGTTCACCTCGACACTCCTAATTTTTACCCTCCCTCCAGTACCTCTCACTCCCCAGTGCCTCACTCCCCTCAGCCTCCCCTAATTTGCCTCATCCTCCAATTTTCGACATGAGCACACACCAGAACATTCTCCAGTGCCCTCAGGCCTCTGAACCTCAAGTGCACACCTGACACTCCAGTGCCTCCGATGCTCCAGTGCCCACTCAGACACCCATGATTCCTTCGAGACCTCCCTGGTACACTCTGACGCTCCAGATTTACCTCCAATCACCTCGGGCGCAGACATTCCCAGGTACACCTCAGACACTCAGGTACGCCTCAGACGCCGACGCTGACGGTACCAGGCCGCCTCCATTCCGTTACGCCGGTTCTCCAACCGGCGCCAGGCGCACCTCTGACGCTCGGGTGCACCTCTAACGCTCCCGGGTGCCTCCGCTCCAGTTTTCCTCCTCCCAGTGACCTCCCGTGCACTCAGGCATCCGTTGCCTGACACTCGAACACCTCCGACCCTCCCTCGGTACCTCGAACATCGCTGACATCACGTTACGCACCGACAGCCAAGACGCCTCAGGCTCCAGTTACACCTCGACACTCCCGGTTCCCCTGGGCGCTCCCCACCCTGGCCGCCAGATACCTCTGATGCTCCCCAGGTGCATCCAGCCAGGCGCCAGTTTCTCGACCTGGTTGCCTCGCTCACACCTCTGGCCACTCCAGTGCCGTCGACACTCCAGACGTTCCCAATTTACCTCAGTACTCCCAGTGCCTCGGCCTCCAGTGCCTGCTGACGCTCCTCCATTCACTCAGACACTCCTGAGTACACATCCGCCGTTTCCTCCTCCTCCTCAGACGTCAGGCCCTCCAGTGCCTCCTCCCGGGCTGACCTTCCGGTGGTCTCATCCCCTGAACTCCCAGTGCTCTCCTGGTGCACCTCTGGCCTCCACTCCATTACACCTCCATTTTCTCTGGGCCATGGGTGCCTCTGGCCTCCAGATTACTCTACCTCCCTGAGCCTCAGCCTCCTGGGCGCCTCTGGCACTCCCAGGTGCACCCCTCCAGGCCTTCAGGCCTGCCTTGTTCTCCTCTGACACTGCCAGGTAGCCACCTCAGACTCCCCAGGTGCACACACCTCCGACACCTCAGGGCACTGGGTGCTACTGGCCTCCACAGGCCTCTGGCCTCCCAGGCACTCAGAACCAGGTTCACTGTCTCCTGGTTCACACACCTCCTCCCACAGGCCCTCAGAACACTGCAGATGCCTGGTTCCTCGACCTCCCTGTTGCCTCTGACCTCACAAGTTTTCCACCCAGCACTCCCAAATTCCTCAGTACCATACACTCAGGCATTTCCCTCAGGCATCACAGTTACTGCCCTGACCTCCCAGGTTTGCCTGCCCAGGTGCCCTGACGCCAGTTCTCATTCTGACCTCCCGGGGTACTCCGCAAAACATCCTGGTGCCTCTGCACTGGGTGCCTCAGGCCCCTCCGGGGCACACCTCCGATCCCAGGTGCGCCCTCGCCCGTTATCTCTGTGCCAGGTGTATAGAACCTCCGATTTTACCTGAACCAGAACATCAGAACGCCAGTGCGACCTCCCCAGGCCTCAGACACTCGATTCCAGACGCCAGACACTCCCAGTTCACTCCTGGTTGCTCCTGGGTACACCTCCTGGCCTCCCCAGGGCACGACCACCGGTGCCGGTACACCTCAGGCTCTCCTGGTGCACCTCAGACCGGGCGCGAGTGCCTCAGTTCTCTGGCTCCCAAATTTTCAGAACATTCCATTCAACAGACATTCCTTTCAGGATTCTCCTCTCTGACACAAATTACCTCACTGATACCTGTTGCTTCCTCCACAGGCCTCCACAGTGCCCCTCCTCCTGGTGCTCAGCCTCCCCTGGTTCTGACACTTCAGGTACACCTCAGGCACTCAGGCTCCCAGGTGCACCCTGACCTCCCAGGTTACTCCTCCTGGCCTCAGGTGCTCTCTCTGGCCTCCCAGGTACACTGTGGCCATCAGACATCACTGATCCTGAGGTGCCTCTGGCCTCCTAAGACACACCTCAGGCACTCCACACCTGATGCCTGGGCTCCGATACTCACAGGTACCTCCAGTCCTCCAGGTGCTCCTGAGCCTCCAGGTACCTCAGACATGGGTTACCTCTGATGCTCCTGGTGCCTCCCAGGCATTCCCCTGGTACCTCTGAGCACTCCCAGGTACTTCCTCTGCCACTGGGTAGCCTCTGGCACTCCCAGTTGCTCCTCCCACACACCTGGCCTCCCATTTTGCCATCCCAGACCCCACACAGGTACTCCCCAGGCGCCTCCGGCACTCCAGGTGCCTCCGACCAGTGCACCTCCAGTCCAGGCCTCCCGGTTCTCACACTCCTGGGCTGCCTCCCTCCCAGGCCTCCTAACATCCCTGTTTTGGGCATGCAGTTTGCATCAGACCTCTGGGGTGCCTCAGGCTGTTCCCAGGCCCTCGTGCTCCCAGGTGCCTCTGACGCTCCCGGTGCCTGACCTCCCGGGCGCTCCTCAGGCATCTGGTGCACCCTCACCTCCAGGTACTGAACTCCCCAGACGCGCTCTGCAGGCGCTCCTCAGTGCCTGGGCAGGGTGCACTGGGCGCTCTGACAGGTGCGCACTCAGACGCTCCAGGGTGCCGCGTTGATTGCACTCCTCCACACTCAGGCACTCTGACACTCAGTGCACTCCCTCTGCCTCCCCTGGGTACACACTCTCCTCCCAGTGCCTCCTCCTCCCCTCGTGCCTCTGGCGCTCCCTCCACGGCATTTTCAGACACTCCAGACATCCCAGGTGCCTTGCGTGAGGCTGGCCTCCAGGGTGCACTTCCCTGACACTCGGTGCTCTCGGCTCTGGGTGTTCCTCTGACCTCCCCAAGGTGCCTCCATCTGCTCACACGCCTGACATGCCAGTGCCTCTGGGCACTCACAAAAGTGCCTCTGGGCCTCCAGTGCTCGCCCCATTCTCTCTGACCTCCTCCAGACACCTCAGACACTCCCAGATTACACCGCCTTCTGGGCAGGTCCTGGGTGCCTCCCAGGGTACCTCCAGGCCTCAGGCCTCTTACTCCTTGTTCTCCTCCTTACATAGGTGCCTCAGGCTCCTCCCAGTGCCTCAGACACTCCCAGGAAACACCTCAGGGCCACTCCCAGGCCCTTCACACAACCTCCCAGTGCCTCAGGCCTCAGTGCCTCAGAACCTCTGAGATTCTCCTCCACACTCCCTCAGACGCTCCCAGTTCACCTGATGCCTCCTGGGTTTTATCTGACACTCGGGCGCTCCATTTTACCTCGACCTCCGGTGCAACATCAGTGCTCTGGTGCCTCTTACACTCCATATTTCATCACTCACAGACGCCTTAGAAGGGTGCCCGGAACGCTCTAGGTACTCAGACTCCACACCTCAGACACTCCGGGTACGCCTCTGACACTCCCAGATTGCACCTCAGACACTCCCCAGTTCACCTTTGATGCTCCTGGTTCTGCTCTGACGCTCCTGGGCTCGAGACGCTCCCCAGTTCCGGTATATCACCCCACACACACACACTCCCAGGCACTCCAGGTACAGCCACCGTGCCTCGGAACCTCCAGGTGCTGCTGCTGGCCATCTGGCACTCGACCTCCCCCTCGGTGCCTCTGATCTCCTGGTTCTGCCTCAGGCATCCCAGCAGGGTGCCTCCCTGACCTCCCTCAGCACTCTCTTCCCAGACACACCTCAGGGCCTCCCAGTTCTTCGTGCCTCCTGTTGCCTCTGACCTCTCCAATTTGACCTCCCCTGTGAGCCCATGCACCTCAGGCCATTTGCATGAAAGCGGCAGCTGGGCCCTCGCCACCAGGGTGCCCTCCCCGCTGACGCTCACGCGGGGCAGGCATACGGGTGCTCCTCTGGGCGCTCCCCACAGGGTGCCGCTGACTGCTCCACCGGTGCACTCCACGATTAACTCTTCAACAAGTTTTGCACTCAAGTTTAAAATCCCTAATGTGCTCTCCTGGGACCATCTCACACACACACTGCACTCCCCTGGCGCTCCCAGGGTTGCCTCCCCAGGCAGGTGCGCACACTCGCCACGCATCTCAACCAGGCTGGCGGCATAATACAGGGTGCCAGCGTTGCACTCAGACGCTCTCAGATTTTTGCGCACTCCGCCCTTCAATGTGAGGCTCAGAGACGCCAGTTCCTGGCCAGTGATGATGATGATGTGTGTGTGATGCTCTCCCTGTGGTTCTGCTCTCTCTCTGGGTGCATCTGCACTCCCAGGTGCACTTCCAGGTGCCTCTGACCTCCCCGTGCACTGGCGCTCCCCAGGTGCACCTCCCAGGCCCTTCCAGACTGCTCCCGGGTGCTCCTCCCTGCTCTCTGCCGGTTTTATCTGGGGGTGCACGCACTTGCACTCAGGCCCTCCC